TGATAGCTCGAAAACAACGCCAGGAGAGCGAAAATCGACTCCATTGCCTTCTGAGTCAGATCGAAGGAGAAAGGAAAGTTGGTCATGCAATTGTCATGCACTGTATAGTTTGGTCTACTGTCCCCTCCCCTGAAGAAAACAATTTTGAACGGAGAGGAAGCTGGTGCAAGCAACAGGTTTCGCGGGAACCTCGCGGGTCTTTTGTGAGCGCAACATGGCGTCGTTACAGATGTTGTTCCACTCTGTTTTTATCGTAACGGCTTTGAATATCTCCCTTATAATGGCTGCTCTACCTGGCATGTTATTTCCTAAAGATTCTGAGAGAAGAGAAGTCAAGGACCTCAGTGGTATGTGGGATTTTCGCGCCGATATGTCAGTCAACAGAAATGGCGGCTTCGAGAATATGTGGTTTGCTAAACCACTGTGGCAGGTAAGTCTAGAAATATAGAGATAATGACACCAGAACCCGTTTGATTAAAGACATTTACGATTAGCCTAGAGATAAAAGTCGTATTTCTACCATTAGATCCTAAGCTTGCGTTGATTGTATGTGTTCGAAAATTAGTATTATAATTGCAAGCGGAAACGAACTACACAGGAAGAACTGTCAGGGAATCCTCCTTTAACCATACGATGGATTCGCTTAGGAAAATTTTAGTCAAGTTAGATCATTTGTTCGATAACGTTGACTATTTTAAGAGAACAAATTCGTTCAATTTGTATTTAAGCTCAAGTTTACCTGTAACTTAACTCAACTAAACCTGTAACTCAAAATATCGAGTCCATTGAAAGCAAACGTGCGTGTGGAATTACCGTTCTGATGTTTGGCCGAAACGAAATTGAGAATCTTTCCTGGGTTACGTAGTAAATTTAAATTCCTTTCTGATGCAATTTACTACGTTTTTGTTTTGTCGAGGCACTAAATACTGAATATAAAATCACGGCTTGAAGAAAAGAATCTAATTCCTTTCAATGTTTAAATAATTAATTTCAATAAAATTC